GACGGCTAGCCGGCTTAGCCGGCTAAGAGTCTATCGGCTTAGCCGGCTAAGGTTTTTTTAACGGCTGATATCACTAAATGGGACAATAATTAAAGGGTTATTCAATAATACATAATTAATAAACCCAAAGAAAAATTGTCTTATATTACTCAAGTTTTTTGAATTCCCGAAAAAAATTCAACATATTAATATAGCTTACCCCTAAGCTAAAACTCATCATAATTGATGTTTCATATTATTTATTTTATGCACTTACTTAATTAACAAACTTTGTTCTTGAATAATAATAATATAATCACTTTTTGCTAGAAAAATATACGAAAAATATTTATATTTTATTTATAATTGAAAAAAAAAACATAAAAAGTAAAAATTTCGTTGTAATAGTAACAAATCAGTTATTACCATCATCACTATTATTACTACCACTATTATTACTACCACTATTACCATAAGTGATTGATTTCACTTTATTAATTAGTGGAAGAATTGTGCCTTGTATGAAGCGATTGCCAAGTGAAGCTGCCATATTATACATTTTTCGCCAAAATGATTCTACTTCTGTTCTTGGCAAATTTGGTAGACTTTTACTTTGTGAAGGCTTGGGCCCTTCCAACAATTTTTTACCCGCTAAAATACCGTTAATGTCGTTATTGGGTGGAGGCTGTTTTTCTGCAGTTTTAAAAGCTGTAAATATAAAGATGTCAAATAATATTTTGTTTTATATACAAAACAAGCCATCAGGAGCTTTGAAATATTTTCTTAAAGATGTCGATTAAAAGCTTACCTTCTTTACGTTTATTCATTATCAGAGAACGTATTTCAGTGAATTCATCTTCGCTTATGAGATCCTCCCCACGGCAATTTTTTAAAATTTTGAGTTCTTCATAAGGATCGTTCATTATGAATGTTATAGGCAAAAAGAAATTTTTAGCAAATTGTCTAAAAGTTGGGATTATTAATTCATATGTCGTATTTTTCTCAAACCGGTTTGATGACAAACCCCCCAAATTAGAAATCAATGGAATTTAACTAAACCTTATTATTATGTATATATAATGATCATTAATAATCGAAGAAAAAAAAACTTCATTAAAAAAATGGATCTTTATGCAGAATTAAAAGAATGCAAACGTCAAAAGGATGATGGTGAAATCGATGAAAAAGAATTTAACAAGCGAAGAAAATTGATAATGAGCGAATGGAATAAACCAAAAGAAACCAAAAAAACTGAAGATTCGCATGGTAAATAAGCAAAAAAGTGTCTACTTTGTTATAAAACACTTATACATTTGTTATTTTACTGATTGTTTAAATGTGATAGTTGTTAACGAACCAAAGGCAACAGACTTGTATGCTTTCCTTCAGCTAAAACCTGATGCAACTGAGGCCGAAATTAAATCAAGCTACAAGAAACTTGCTCTGAAGTACCACCCTGACAAGAATGGCGGTACTAGGACTGAAGAGGTACTGCATCAAATTTGTTTTTTTTAACACCGATTTGCATATTTCATTGATTTGATATTTTTAATGCAGTGGGATACGTTTTCAAAGGCATATGAAATCCTCTCGGATGGTGATAAACGCTTTCTTTATGATAACTACGGAACGACAAATAATTGTATGCATTAAACTCGCTGCATTTTGAGTTTTAGTATCACTTCCTTGACTTATTTAATTTTAATTAATTTTAGCCTTAGGTGGTAAGGCGTCATTAAATCACTGTTTAGGAGGAGAATCTTGGCAACCCTATATCGGTGAAGTGGAACTTGGCCTCTGGCTGTACTCATTTATGGATAATAAGAACTCGCCTGAACTAGAAAACCTAAATTCAGCTGAGCAAAAAGCTCGTCGTCACAATATTCGTCTATCTAGCATTACTAATTATCTACAAAACAAACTTTCTCAATTTCCAAAAAAAGATTCAGAGCAGTTCAATTTATTTGAAAAAACTCTGCAACAAGAATCCCAAATACTTATCGCAGAACCTAATGGCAAAGAGCTATTATCTTGTTTAGGCAATATCTACACGATTAAGGCCAATGCCTATCTATACGTGACCAAGTTGCGTGGTTATTTAAATACGGATTCTATATTCAGTCTTCTTGTATTTATGGCGAAAAGCTTGGTTCCTGGCCTTGGTTTTACAAGAGGCTTTAGATGCGTGATTTCTAGTTTAACGGCAAATAAAATCAAAAGACTTGAATTTACGAAAGGCGTGGTTTCTAGTTTCATAGCAATTAAAAGTAAAGGTGGAACTTCAAACATGAGCCTAGAAGAGGTAAGGGCTTATTTAATAAACCAAAAATAAAATAAAACCTAATTACAAATAATTTGTTTAAAAAATCCTAGATCTATCAAATATTTTGGCAGCTTTCACGATCAGAAATATCCTCAATTGTAGCTGAGAGCTGTGATAAAATTTTGACTAGTGACAGTGAAGACAACA